ATATATATATAATATATATATATATATATATATATATTATATGAAATGGGTAGATATTTAATTTTAATAAAATGATTTAAATATATATACATGCGCCCACAGAAAACATAAATACAATAATTTTTAGAAAACTTATATAATTAATTAATTAAATTTAATATGTGTGTATATAATTTTGCTTGACCATTTGATTAATATCTACAAACTTATTTTTTAAATATCCAATGAGAGGTGGAGTTTGAACAGATAAATGCACGGGAGGAGAAAAATAAGTTTTAAATAAAATTATTCAATAAATTATTTGTCATTTCGTAATTTCATCTAAATTTCTTTTTCCCCCTAGTTTATATAAAAATAGAGAAATTCTAAAAATAAAACATCAAGCAATAATTTTCTACCAAGTTCTTATTTGTAATCCATTCACACCAAAATAATTAAAAAAAACACGGTTAATTAACAAATGATTTATCATAAAGTTTCTCGCAAACAAAAATTAAATTAAATACATGTGACATATCTATATAATTAAGGCAAAAATTTAATGGAAAAAATACACATAAATATATATTTCTTGTAATGGCAGTGGATGCACCACATTGCTTTGCACAAGAGATTTCTATAATGATTCATTATGATCATACTACTTAAGAATCACATACAACTAGTTGTAGAGTATCTAGCATATTTAAGATTATATATTTGCGATATATGGATATGCACACTATAATATGTATATAGATATAAGTGTAATTAAAAAAATTTCTACAAGTTTATATAGTACAATAATTCAGTAAGACATAGTATAAATTCTAAGTTATTGGTTAAATAAGATCTATATAGATCATCAAAAGTAGTTTAAGATTATATCACCAACAAATGGTCCAACAGCTCAACTATAGCTAGCATTGTCCTACTCCAATGAAGACCATGATCATTGTAATTTCAATTATAAGGAAAACATGAAAGGATAGACTAGATTTGAAAAATATATACAAATATAGAAAGAAAACATCTTCACTTTTATCAACATCCACATGTAGACCAATCATAAGCCTCGTGGTTCACACCAGTCACCAATTTAGCAAAACAACCAACATGTTTGAAAACTAAACACCTAAGCAATTCAAACATTTACCACAATTATAACATACATCAAGGTATTAATATAATGCATATGAACAACAATCAACTCACCGCATCACATGCATATACCACAACTAATGTGTCCTCACACATTCATTTACAGAGAGGTCTATTAACACACCTGAACAATTTGAATAACTTGACTCTATTGAATCAACCTAATCATTTTTATGCCCAATGCATTCTCTAGATTGACAACTAAAATGAGATACCAATATCCCTCCTTTGATTTCTTAGGTGTCACCATTTACACTAAGAAAGTTTGGTTCTACTATTATGACTAGTATAGACATAAGCATATCATGACCTTGACATGCATTCCCAAGATACATATGTAATTAGCCCACTAGTTATCCTTAAGGAACCACACAACCTTTCCAGTAATCAATTAAGGGTTTGTAGCCCTCGACTTCATAACATTAACTAAAGACCTAGATGAGACTCAACAAAATCTTCTCAAGGAGAAGGTTTTCAACAAATAGCCTCCTAGAACACCATAAAAAGATCCCATACATGGGATCTTCAACTTTCAAAAACAACATCTCTCCTCTAGTCTTAATCAATCGACATACTTTAATGTCCACAACATTCTTAGTATCAATACTTCAACATACATCATCTATAAATATTACCCTAAATCAATGCATATAGAGATCAAATCACATCATTCCATTATAGCATACCAATACTTATAAACTCATTCAAGAATATCAATGCTCAACATCTTAATTAAGTACATATGAATGCCTATTCAACACTCCAACCATTCAACTATAACATATCGATCATATATAACATATCAATGCTCATCGCCAATTTCAATTATACAATTATAGCATACCAATACTCATCAATATCATACATCATATAATATTTAATAGAAACATATTTTATTCATATTTGCCAAATCATTCATAAGGAAATATGCAAATCATAACACAACCCACGCTCGATACAACTTACCTCATGCCCAATGCTAATAAGGTAGGGAGTTTTCTATCTCGCCTACGCCCGGTGCCATTCAACTCACATTTGACGTGCTTGAGATAGGGAATCCCTAGAACCTCATGTCTGGCGTGGCAAAATCCCACATATGACCTCACATCAACCCAAAATGATTTTTTCTCCTCACTCTAATGTCACTCCTTTGGTGCCTAGTGTCATTCTTGGTATAGGCAATTTTCTCACCTCATACCCGATGTCATTCAAACCACGCTCGATGCCATTTTAATCTAGAACAATTCTTTCTCCTTATGTTCGAAGTCACCCATCTTGTGCCCAACGTGAGAAAAACAAAGACCCTCTATTAAGGGTGTGCTCGACGTTGTGAAGGTACATTCGGTGCGATATCAGGAATCTACAATCGCAAAACTGGAAAATTTGCCTCATTCACCTGAAATCAACTCAACAAAACATGCAATAATTAATACCAAATAATCATAGACACTTCATACAACTCATTTGTAAGTCGAATAATAACATGTAACACCAATCATTCAAAATCACCTTCATAGTTCAAAACACCAAAATTAACCCACTTCCATCCAAGTGTCCGAAAATCTCAACCATACAACCATGTTAGATGAAAGTAAGAACATGCCTTCAACAAATCAAACACCAAAAATCAATCTTAGCTTCCCTTACCTCCCAAAGCACCAAGAGGAAGAAAAGAGAAGAATATGGAGAAAATTGAGCTCCCCAACAGAGTTCACACACTGCGCAACTAAGATTCAAGGCTCTCAGAACCTGAATCACATCACACAAATTGATTAACAATTTTAAGGAAAGTATTCTTCGAGCGAGAGAAGGTTTAGGGAGAAGGAGAAAACTCAGGACTCAAAGTACTTTTCTCTAGTTTATCTCTCTATAATTTGGAGAAGTAAACTTATGAGACTTAATTCTCAACAAAAATCTTATATACTTCCTATCTTCAGGGTCAATTGAACCTTTAGCCAAGGACCCTAAAAAATAACTACACTCGTAAGAGTTTCGTAGCTCTCAGAGTCACTCCACACACCTTAAACACTTGATAAACAATTATTGTTACAAAATCACGACTAACAAACTTAAATCATTACAATCTTTTTATTTTATGAGAAGCCAGAGCCAAGAAAGAAAGAAAAACCAAATCATAGTAAGAAAACTAAATATTCATCATCAAATATTATCTAGAATTAATCACCTATACACTGTTAGTGTAAAGTTTTTTTACACTGACAAACTAATCATATATCTTAATAGTGTCATGTCAGTTGCTTATTTAATAAAATAAAAATAAAATAATTTAAAAGATATGATTGGTTGCCAGTGTAAAATTTTTTTATATTAACAGTGTATGAA